CATTTTTTTAAATATATTTTTGAATGTTGGGTCACCTTTTTTTTATAATTTAAATATGCCTTTCTTTGGCGCCAGGTCAAGTGTTTCTTATTTTATATCGGTGTGTAGGAAAATTATATTTAAACTATTTTACAACTTAGTTCCCACATTGAGTATTGCATACTTAAATGTCTGTTCAAGATTAAATTCCTATTTCAGTAGAGAAAATTATGTTATTTCAAAGAAGTTTCTCGTTGTTCCGATCTAATAGGTTTCCTGTATATTTACGTGCAGTTATTTAGTTAGAAATATATAATATATAACAATGGAATTGGAGCTTAATTCATATCAGTTGCAGTGCAGTGCCTTAAGCAAATTAATCTGAGCAAAACGTTTTAAATATTTTACTCTCTACTCCATTACAGTATTTTTAATGCCATGTTCTGTCAACCCAAGTGCTTATCTTGGGATGACACCCAGCTGCAAAGCGTCAAAATGCTTAAACGTCCAGCAAAGATTAAAAAATGTATAAATAAATAAATTGCATGAATTTTCAAGTAAATAAAGCAGTGACAATTATAAACAATTGTACGCTATTTCTACCCCAAAAATTGTGTAGCATTTTGGAGTCTAATTGTGACTTCAACTCTTCAAAGGATTTTGTTTGCTGCATAAAACGACGGCACTTAAAATGCCGGAATCATAACATCCTTAGTCGTAACCTGCCAAAGTGGAGGTCTAGTCTACATTTTGAAACTGAAATAAATAGTTGGTTCATTTAAAATGTATTTATTAAATGGCTTTTAAATTAGGTTGCCATTTAAAGCTTGCCGCATAATTCAGGGATTTATGTGGCATATTTTATGTTCGTCTTTTTCCAGCTGCGTTTACCCATTTTCCAAGCATGACCCAATTTATGGGGCACCCATTGATCAGAATTAGGTTATCTGGGCACAAAATGGCGCATTAAGTCTAAATGTGTTAAGAGTGTTTAACTGTGGTCATAAGCTGTTGACAGCTGTTATTGGCAGGAATGTCGGAGGGGCTGATGGGTCGCATAATGCTGGCACACACAGCTGTGGTGCATTGATAGGCACTTTAAATATACATATATATTGGGTTAAGTGTGTTGCAAACATACTCGCAAAGTGCATGTGTGTGTGAGTGTTTAATTCGGCGTGAATGTGCAGTTGAACCACACTTTTTGGGTCAACCCAATCCCGCAAGACCATTGAAAATAAAATCCAACCAATTTGTTTGTTTTTTAACGTTTTTTAATTAGCATGTTAAATAAGAGTAGTGAATAAATTGCTGAACAGATTTTAAAACGACATTTTATTTAAAGACTATTTAATTTGTATCCATTTCCAAATAAAAATAATCATATACGAGTATATTCTTGCTTACCGATTTTCTTTCAACTGAGTTGTGATTGAAACTAAAATTTAAGAAATACATTTACCACTTGGAAAACTCCACATTTTTTTGTAGAATGAATTATGAATGTATATTTTTCAAACAAGGAAAAAACTTGAGAATGAAACGATGATGCGACTTAAGATGTCAGAGATGATGACGCTGGATAAGGGAGAATGTCTTGTTCTGCATTACTTACACAGCTAATCCCCGTGGGTGGTTTCCGTTGGGACCGTCTAAGCCTTTGTTAAGACAAGAGCATTTGGGCCATGTTATCGCAGTGTGCGCTTTGTATTTGCTATCTTCTTTGCGCTTCCCTTGAGCTTATCAGCGCAGCGCATTTCTGGCCATTTTTGCCAGCTAATGATGATCAAAGTCAGGATGTTTGCCCCTCTTGCGTTTCAAGACACGCCTCCTCACTCACGGCTAGGCAGGTGGCTAATGGCAGTTGTTCGTGCCATTCGCAGTGTTTTTGTGCAGTGTACCTCATTTTCTCATTTAGACCTTTTGGCAGAGCCATAACAATGTAATCGAGTGTATACAATGCGATAAACTCGAATTGCTTGGCACTAAATGCCACTGCGAAGCAAAGAAGCGAGCAAAAAAAAAAAAAAGAAAGAAGGAAAGAAATGTGCTGACAAATTGGCCAACTTTGCTCTTTTTTACGCTCTGCTAGTCCTTTGCTGTGCTGTCCTTGCAGCCCCCGCTCTCCACCCTCAGCCCCTTTATCGTGTAATGATGTGCCAAACTCTAAGTTATAGTTGCGGTCCATAGGCATCATAATTGTAATTGGCCCTACATGTTGTCGGCCACCATAAAACCAGGCGCACAGCCATGAAAATTGACCACTATGCACGATTTTTGATGGCTTTAATGTGGTGGGTGGGTTGGTTAGGGTATATTAAACTGGTAATTTCATTAATGCATATAACACCATCCAAATAAATGAATGATGGCAAGTTGTTGTTTATATTTTAATATTAATTCTTTAGAACTTAGTGGAAGCTTTGATAAAAGTTTGAAGTTTTCTGAACTTTGCTTTTTCTGAAATAGTGTTTGATTATAATAATGATCCAAAGTTGTCAGCAGTTCTTGAAAAGTGAAAGTAATGTTAAAGTAAATAGATTTGGTAACAAAGCATAAATTTCCAATTCCTAAACCAAAACGTAGCCAAATTTTATAGATATGAAATAATATCTGACTTTTTGGCATTTCTGTTTATCTTCCACAAAACTTAGCATAACTTAAGGAGATAAGATATGAAATTATATCAGTCTTTGACACTTTCTAATAAGAAATAATAAGTATATACTCCAAGTAGTATAATTTATGAAAATTTAAATATATTTTTTCTCGACTTCTTTCGACTTGAGCACTCTAAATAACTGCAATAGATATTATTCTAAGCATTTAGCTGAAATTTGTTATTTTAGAATAGATTAATAAGGTTATAATTAGAATATCCGAAGTATATATAATCCTGAGCATTTAGGTCAAATAATTTGTTATTTTAGAATAGATTAGCAAGGCTATAATTTCGTTGATTCTAACAAAAATTAAAAGGTAATTTTTGGTCATCATCACTAGCCAATTCTCGTTGTGCGTCCGCCGCGCTTATGACACATTTAGTGCGCATTAGACGTTGTTTTCCGTAAAAATGATTTTCAATTATGCTTTGTGCTGCGAGTCCCTTTCGGCCCGGGACGACAATCCATAACGCTCCGCCGTACCTGTGCACACGATTCATTGCGCACGGCTGCACTTTTGGCAGTTCCCCAGGCACCCATCCTGCACCAGCCAATCCTGCCCCTGCACTGCCATGGCCATGTCCTTTAGCGTGTGCCATTTGGCATCATTTACAATTTTTGTAGTTTTCATTGTTGTAAAGTTTTTAGCTTTTGCTTTATAGTGTTTCATATTTGAATATGCATGAAATTGGAATTGTAAAAATCAATCAATTTCGTATACGCCATGTGCGCCACCGGGGTAGGTGGCTCGTGTGGTTGTGGTAGGGACAGCAAAAAACAGTATTAAAATCACCGAAGTGGAAAAAATGGCAGTTATAATGTTGCAATTGGCAAGCAGATATCCTACACATAGACATTGAGTGCACTAAATCTATAATATGTTTATTTATTGTCTGAAATTTACTCACTTAAAAGATGATAAGCTTAAGGATTACCAAGTAGCAATATAGCTAGACTAATATGTTATGTTTGCTACATAAATAAATATTCTAGGTAAATTCTAAACAGGGTATTCAGCTTGTATTTTGCGTATGCGTAATATGTATTCAAATGTTGAACCTTTTTCACACAACAATAAACAATAAAGTCAAGCGCTGCTCAAGTCGCTTTCCCACTCATTAATTTTGCTTTAACGCAAATATTACATTGAAATCCACTCAAAATGCTGGCTGCCTTTCCTCAAGCACCTCGAAGTTATCTTATTTTATAAATAAATCAAACAACCCGAAAGCACTTTAGCATTACGAATAAATTGTATTCAGGGCAAACAAAATACAATTTACTGCCGTAAATATAAAAATGGCAACAACGACAAATTTTATACAAATTGCAAACAAATCTGAACAACAACAACAACAACTGCAACAACTGCAACAAGAGGCGACTAAAATAAGCTGCAACTTTGCAGTGACCGCAAAACACTTGACACGCTCAGCTGCTGTCCAATATAAATGCAACAACGGTAGATGAAAGGCTGCTCGAGCTACAAATCCTCCTCCTCAACCTCAACCTCCTCCTCATCCTCATCTTTTTGTTGCTGTTGAGGCAGCTTATGTGTGTGTGTGTGTGTGTGTGAGTCTGCATGTTGATCCGTTGTGTTGTTGTGTTTGCTTAAAACAAGTGAATAAAAAAGTGCATCCAAGAAGAAAATTACAATAAATAATATTGGCAAGGAAAAACCTTTAATACCCTCTTTATACAACAATTATCTCAGTGGGTATGCTGCTTTCCTACAAACTTATGTTAGAATCAGAGCAGATATTTATTTGCTCGCAAATGGGCGCCTAAAATATGCTTGAAAAATGTCTAATATGTCTATAAGATATTAATATTTCATATTATTTGATTGGAACTTTTATTCATATTTATGTAAAGAGCATTTAATGAATTCAAATTGAATAAACTTTATAGCCAAACATAATTTGTATAATATCATTTTAATATAACATTATTTCCGTATTTTATTTAGATAAATATGAAACCACAATCAAATCAGCTGCCAATTAACTTTCGAGTTTCGAGAACATTTCACGCAAAGCTCGCTGTTTCATAAAAAAAAGAAATTAAATATGCATAGAGAATATGCAAAATAAGCATGCAATCCGCATTTTATGTAAATTTTCGAACCAGAAACAATAATTCAATTAAAATTTGCCATCAAGCAAAGGAAAAAACTAAATAGATTTAGTTGTTATTCAGAAATTAATTAATTTTTAACTTTATGCAACTCTTTGATAAAATAGGAAGAAAAATAAGAATGAATCCAAATCGAATAATAAATTGATTTGGCACTCTTGGAATACAAGTCATATTTCTTTTTTGGAAAAGGCATAAAACACTTTGCTTCAGATATATACATATATTTCAGATTGATTATTTTATTACTTAATATAAATCAAATGGAAAATACACAGCAATTCCACTGACGAGTGATGCTGGCCAGAAATGAAGTTCCAATTTGTCATGACGCCTGCACAAATAGGAGCAACTTCGAATGCAGGACATTGGAACTAGTTTCGGGATTAAGAGTTCTTCTGCGGCACCTTGACAATAACGCTCTTGACCTCCGTGTAGTTGGAGAGTGCGTATTCACCATTCTCGCGTCCCTGGCCGGACATCTTGTAGCCGCCGAACGGAGCCTGAGCAGCGAGGGCATTGTAGGTGTTGACCCAAACGGTGCCGGCACGCAGGCCATTCACAATATAGTTGGCTTTGTCCAGATCCTTGGTGAAAACAGCGGCGGCCAGGCCGTAATCTGAGTTGTTGGCACGTTCGATGACCTCGTCGAGTTTCTTGAAGCGTATCAACTGCTGCACGGGTCCAAAGATCTCCTCGCGTGCAATTGTCATGTTGTCCTGAACATTGGCAAAGACCGTCGGCTGAACGAAATAGCCGGGCAGACCATCTGCTCGACTACCGCCGGCAACTAGTTTGGCACCCTGTTGCTTACCCGTCTGAATGAGACCCAAAATCTTATCCATTTGCTCCTGATTCACCTGGGGTCCCTGTTCGGTGTTCAGATCGAAGGGATTGCCGATGGTGCGTTTCTTGGCACGCTCCGCACTCCGCTCCACAAACTCATCGTAGATCTTGTCCTCGACAAAGGTGCGCGAGCCGGCACAACAGCACTGGCCCATGTTGAAGAAGAGTCCAAAGTGAGCCGTTTCCACGGCATAGTCCAGATCTGAATCGGATAATATAATGTTGGGCGATTTGCCGCCCAGCTCGAGAGTTACACGCTTCAGATTCGTATTGCCCGAGGCCAGCTGAATCAGTTTGCCAACATCTGTGGAGCCCGTGAAGGCCACCTTATCGACGTCCGTGTGATTGGCCAGAGCGGCGCCAGCATCTCCAAAACCGGGCACCACATTGACAACACCCTCGGGGAAGCCAGCTTCCTTGACCAGTTGTGCTATATATAAAGCCGTCAAGCTGGTCTGCTCGGCGGGCTTGAGGACAATTGTATTGCCAGTGGCCAAAGCTGGGCCCAGTTTCCAGGCCATCATTAAAATTGGGAAATTCCAGGGTATTATCTGGCCGCACACGCCGACCGGCTCGTGGCGTGTGTACGTAAAGAAGTCACCATCCATAGGAATAGTTTTGCCGTGATTCTTGTCCGCCCAGCCGGCAAAGTATCGCAGATTCTTAATGGCCACCGGCAAATCCACACTATAGGACATGGTATACGGCTTGCCATTATCCAGAGTCTCCAAGCTCTACAGAGAAAAGGAGAGAGAGATTGTTCATTCAAATAGATTCGTTTGGTTGATTAGTCTAGCTTGTATTTACCGACAAGTAAACCTGATCACGCTCCATGAGATCGGCGAGACGATAGATTAGGCGACCACGGTCAGAAGCATCCATGCGGCGCCAAGGGGAGCCCCATCTTTGTGGCAAATGGATACCAAGATTAATAATTTAAAATTGCTTATATATCTACTCACTTGAAGGCCTGACGTGCCGCATTGACGGCAATATCAATGTCCTCCTTGCCGGCGGCTTGGATCTCGGCAATTGTCTGCTCGGTAGTTGGATTGATGGTTGTAAAGGTGTTACCCGACTTGCTCTTGTGCCACTCATTGTTAATGAACAGCTAAAACATAAACAAATCAAGTTATTTATTTATTTAAAAGAAAAATATTTGATATTAATTAATTAAAAATAAATGTTGTATATGTTAAATGGATTGGGAAAAAACCGAAATTATCCATTTACTGCTTATAGATGTATTTTATATGAATATTAAAGAATAAATTAAAGAACCATATCTTTTTATATATACTCTTGCTAACTGTACACATTTCATTGAATTTATTGATCAAAAAATGCCTTAACATAACAATAAATGATTTTGTATACCTAGAATCCATATGTACAATATAACTTCTAATGGAAGTGTCCGGTATAGAAAGCTTGGAGCGTTATTTAATAATCAGTTGTATTTGATAAGCCATTTGATAAGCAGTCTTTGTGTTGTTGTTACCCAGCGGAAGCTTTCATTCATCAGGCTTTGTTTTTATATAATTAGTACTAAAATTTAAATTATGTGCAAGCTTTTGACAAGCTCTAAATTTATTTATAATCAAATCTCAGAATGACTGGCGTAAATCGAAACTGTTGAGAAAACTTTCCGCCAGACAAAATCGCACCTAGCATTTCGTGTCTCAGACAAACTAGACATTTAAATATGAGAGTCATATTTGGCATATATATATACATATATATATTTATATATACTCGTATAATATAATATTTACACTGTAGTAGTACACTTCAGTAGTGACAGGTGCAATACAAATATTTTGTATACTTGTGTGCACACATTTAATCAGTAAATATTAAATCACACTTGGAAAAGTACAATATTAGTGGGATATATACAAAATTATTGACATACAAGTTCATAGACAACAACACTTCATAAATAAAGTACATAAACACTTAACCACAGTTCATATTTGATGCACATGCAAATTCACTACATTCATAAAGTTAATCTTCGTATATAATGTAGTTTACAAATATTTATTCTGATTAACTTAGCAATTGTATTGCTAATTGCTGTACAAGAAGATAACAAATTTATATTCCAGGTACATGCAAATTAACTACATTCCAAGGTTGATAAATTTAATCTTTGTATGTTATATATATAACAGTACTTAATATTTAGCAATTTTTAGCAATTGTACTGCAAATTTCACTACAATAAGATAACAAATTGCGCGAAATGCATGGGAATTGAAAAAGAGAAAATACAATTTGTATGCTCAACGTAAGCTCTTAGAATGCTGAACAATTTTCGGCAGTGAAAACATTTGTATACAAAAACAGAGACTTTTTATTAAGAGAGCCGGGCACAGTTCTAGTTAAGAGTGGCGGTTGCGTCAGCAAACGAGAAAAAAATTTAGTAAGTGTGGTGTAGTCGACTACGACATATCCTGAAGTCAGCTGTTATATAAATTCTAGCTTTATTGCCAGATTTCCTTTAAGAATTTAAGAATTAAGTGGAAATTATCTCATTTCTTGTGTCAGCACAGGCACAGTTAAGAGAGAAAAAAAACTAGCGCAGCGTATAAACATATACATACATATATTCACAAGTCCGAACTGAAATCACCGCGGCGATAACCATAATCATCATGCATAGGCATATTATGTATTAATTAGAAGATTGTAGCTTTTATTGCTTTCGGAAATCGAAATATATCTAGAAATATACTAGAACCTATATTCCAATATTTTGAAGTATATATCTATATCAACTCGGATAATGATCTTGATCAAGAATACATATACTTTATGGATATGCTCCTTTCAGCCTTACAAATTTGCACAAAACTAATATACCCTTTTACCCATTTTCAATGAGTTCCGGGTATAAAAAAGAGTAAGAACAACAACAAAAATAGCCGGCACTAAATACGCAATTCTTTTTTGCGCTCTGCTCAAGACACTATTCGTTTGATGAGCATTCAGCTCACATTCAACGCCGGGTTATTTTCCTATTTTTGCATATTTGTTCGTGTGTGTGTGTTTGTTTGTGTGCATATGTTTGCATGTTTAACTAGAAGCAAGTTTGAAATACGCTAATGCCAGACTTAATTGCAACTCAGCTCAATTGGATGTGAGTGACGTGCTTGAAGAGGAAGAGTAAATGCATAAATATTGCGGCTTTGCCTTTGCAAAAAGGGCAGCTGCGATCTTCGTCAAAGTCAAACAAAAGTAAAGCAATTTTGATAGCAATAAGTCAATACCGGTAAACTATATGGATGTGAGTATGTACGTATGCGTGAGGAACATATGTTTAGCTGTGTATATATATATATATGTATAAATGTATGTATGTGTGTATTTACTTACGCCTGTATAGAGCACGTCTGGACTTGTTTGTGGTTGTGGCAGCGCCGCCGACGAATATGCTGCAGCAGCGGCAATATTCTTATATTCTGCACGCAACAATTTGCTGGCTCTTAAGACACGCAACATGCTGTATTATTATTAGCCGTTATTTATTATAATAGAAAACCACAAAGAACAAATGGCAAGCGACGATTAAGTAACAGAACAACGCGTGCAATTTGCTCAGCAGCTGGAAAGCAACTGAGAGCGAAAAAATAATACTCAACGGTGCCCAGCGCCCCAATGCATGTTTTTTTAAGAGAAAGAGAGCACGTCACTCACTCATACAGCATACGGCGACTCTCCAACGTCTTATCACACAACACACCCAGGTAAAATATATGCAAAAACACATATGTATGTGTTCGTGAGAGCGCGAGCAAAGCAACAACAATAAAGCTGCTGATCAAAAGTCACTCGAAAATGTTGAGCAGCTTTGTGTTCTGTCTCTCTCTTTCTGCGAATATTTTTAATGTCATTTGTGTTGTATGTGTTATGTGTGTGAATAAAGTTATTTGTTCTTTTGCGATTCCCGGCAACGATACCGGTTTCCAACAATTTGTCAACTGGAATAATACAGCTGTTTGCAAATTTGCAAAATTGGAAAAAGGAGACAGGAGGTGCCAAAGTGTAAGGCGAGTGCGAAACAGATGAGTGAAATTGATTGTCGCAGAGGGCCAGTGAAAATGAGTTCTTTACCGATTGCGCAGGGAAGGAGAAATTGTATGCAAAATGAGTGCTTTAAGTGGCAAAGTTTTAATGGCAATAAATATGTGGGGAAAAAAGAACTCAATTAGCATTTATTAAAATAAATGAATGTCTAATTTCTTATAACAATTAGTTATTTAAAAAAGGTTTTTTTAATGTACACTATTTTTTTTCAATTAATTTAAACATTAATAAACAATTAGTTGCAGCCGCCGTTTACAGATTCGATTTTGTGATTTTTTTGTTGTCATAATCAGCATAATAATAATAATAATAATAAGAGTCAAAAAACTTATTTCCTCATTGAATAAAATAAACATTTTGCACAACACGCAAAACTTCGTATTTTGGCGGCAGCAATAATCAAATGGCTTCAATAATTTTATTTTTTGCTTTTTATTTGCTGTTGTTATTTTTCTTGCTGCATGAAATATTTAATTTATCCAATGCAAACAGTTGACATAAAGAAAATGTCAAAAGGACGTAGGATGTTAACGGGCATTAAGTTTAATGCACACCAGAATGGCCAGGAAACGAGATCGCGTCAGATGGCTATAAATGGGAAATCACATTTAAAATAAATTGTCCCAAATTATATTAATTGAATTCAATTACATATTGTGTGCACAAGTTGGAAATTCAATTTCGAGTTTTCGCTGATGGAGCCACATTGCCGGCATAAGTTATCAAAGTGCAGATTTAAAGGTAAAAAAATTCGTAAATAAAAACAGCATTGCTGGAAGAAGTTTTAAAACTATACATTTAAAAGGCAACAACAACGAGTACAGTGAAAAAAAAGAACGCTAACCTAAAAACGTATAAGTAAAAAGAGCGCCAAAAATCTTGAAACAATTAATAGTTTTAAATATAATCCTTTGATTCTAGGATAAATAAAATATAATTACGCTTATTAGCTCCTAACTACCTCGTTTTTAAGAACACTGTAAAAGGTAGCAAATGAAGTTTAATATATTTTATCGGGAAAGTGATTACTATATACGTGTACTCAGAAAATAAAAAATCTTTCTGAAATTTAGAAAATTCGTATTATTCAGAAAATAATTTCCTGAAACGAAAAGTTGTGTCTATGAATTCCTGGATAGATGTATTATTTGGATTTAGATAATCGTTTGCTTCTTAACTTCTTATCTTGACTTATCTTTTTAGAAAATAAATGTTTGCATTTCTACTTTTGAAAAATATATTTCTTAATGAAAAATATTACTCGAATATATAAAAATAATCTTACTTCAAAACCAGAAAACCTTCAAGTTTTCAGTGCGATTTTCATTTCAGAGTGATTATTTATGGAGACATATAATGCAATCCAAAATCTGCGACTTCTTCGATTTTTGATAAAGTAATATTCTGGAATAGTGTATCTTATAGTCTAGTTTCTCAACTTAATCTCTGTACCTAGAATAGAGTTTGGTTATGGCGAAAACGCAGTCGGCAACATCATCATCATATCGTATCTGCTATTTGTAGGAACATATTTATTTGTATTAAGAAGGAGCTAAGACCCGAAAATTCGATAACAAGCAAATATGACCTTAATTACAAGTTTATATAGCTATTTGATACTGGGTTATTTTCGGCCTTGTTATTTAAGTAAGCCCAATGTGAAAGTTACGCAAAATTTACTTTATATATTTGGGACAACTGAAAGAAAGGGAGACACATACATGAATGCATACACACGCGATTGTATATGTGTGTGTGTGTGTGCACTGCAGGATTCAAGGATGTGTTATATAAATAGATGGAAAAAGTTATGTGGACTACAGTAGGGCTAGACTAGGAAATATCCTGTACTCAGACCTGACACATAAGAGAAATTAGACCAGAAAAAAAGATAATTGTGTTGGAATATAAACTGATCCAATTTACATCAATTTATGTGAAAGTATATATAAATATTGATCTGCCAAGTATATCAAATTATCAGTTGGAGATTGAGCAAAATATAAGAATATTAAATATGAATTTCTTACCTCTATTACGACTCCATCATACCATTTGTTGCCCAATTTTATAGGGTATAGAGCGTAAAAAGCAAACATCTATGATGGCAAAAAAAAGGTCAGCAGAAAAGTCGAAATGTATTCAAATGGCTTATGGCTGGATTTAGTTACACTTGGCTCCTCGTCCTTGAGCGTGCCCCCACCCCACATGCGTGCCCCCACCGCCTGTGGTTTTTTATCACTCACTTTCAGGATGAACCCACAAACCGAACCATGTTAGGTATAATTTTTTGTGGCTCGATTTAATGGTTAAGGCGAAAGGGTCAAGCAAAAGCATACACACACACACGCACACACACACACACGCACACACACATTCGCACACATTTGAAAGAGTTATGGCAATGGTAATTTGTAAAGTTATTATGGCTTAAATGTCAGTGTCGAATGGGGCAACAGGGCGTATGCGTAGTGCAGCTGATTTATATGCAAATCCACTTAAATTTATTGCCTTTCTTCTTGCCACTCGTTGCAGATATGAAACCTATAAGGCGACTCTCAAGAAAATACCTGCAACGCGTCTCTCACGCCTCACCGAAGCTCTGGCCAATTATGATCCGGTGCTCAACGAGTATTTCTTTGATCGGCATCCGGGCGTCTTTACCCAAATACTCAATTACTACAGGTGAGGCAAGCAAATGATTACCATTATTTATTGTGTTATAATTGAGAAATAATTAGCCTAATCTTTTACATTTAAACTGATGGCCATTGTTTAAGTGGCGTTCTCCTTAACTTGGTCTTCATACCCTTTCCAACGCGAAGGGTATTATAATTTATTAACATAATTTGCATCAAACTTAAAAAAAAAATAAATCATAGTAAATATATAATTACAATTATTTCTTATGTAAAACAAAAATTAGAAAACGAGTTTTAATGTTATTTAAATTTTTGTTGATTTTATTATACAGTTTGGTTCAAACTAATCGCAAATATTCATTGAAATATTTTTATTATTAATTTTTTTTAACAAAAAATATTTTTTTTTATCAAACACAACTACCGAAGAATAACTTTATATTGATATTATTACTTTATCGGACATTATTTAAAGAAATGATAATTGCTTCTGTTTAGCTTGAGCTACTTTTGAAACAATTTAATCGCCAGTGTAATTAATCTAGTCCCTGTTACCTTGAGCCAAAAACAAACAAGCTGTAATTTTAATTATGTGCTCGTCGTCATAAATCTAAGTTTTTTTGGCTCTAAAGTTTCAGCGAAATTTTAGTACAAAGTCAGAGCGCTCATTAGCAGGCAAAGATAAATGGAAAGTTAGCGGGCTTATCGCTCGATGAGTTAAGTTACTTAAGATTAATGACAGGTTGCCGCACCCCGATTCCTCCTTGCACAACCTGCTACAAGTGTAAACAAAGTTGCCGAAAGTATCTCATTATTAACCGTGTGGTTCGCAATAAATATAGTGATTACTTAGCCTTTCGTATTGTTTGATATAAACACCTTTTTAAACAACAAAATTAATTAAATAATTAAAAATTTCGAAAGTTTTTATTTTTAATTTTAAGCAGTCTGCGTGAAATTATAATATAATTTGGGCAGCAATTTTTAGTTTTTCCCAAATTATCAATGGATGATTGTGACACTTGACACAAAATTATAGCGCAACATTTTTTGTTTGATTTTTTTTAAATATGTAACAATGCTGCAATCAAAAAATAATAATGTATTTTAAATATTATTATTAAACAAATTTCTCCGTACAGGCTTAATATTATTTGTAAAAATATTAGGTAACGGAATTAATATATATTTTTATTTTATTTATTTATTTGATATGGATTAAAAAATAGAAAAAAACAAACAATGACACCGAAAATTATTAAACGTTAGTAGCTTAATAATAAGGAGATTAAAACGATTAAAACAACATATATTTTATTCTATTTCATTGGAGTTTTATTATATTATATTTTTTAATCTGAAATAAACCTCAATTGTAAAAGTTTTGGAACTAATACAAAAATATTTCTTTTCATTAGCTTACATTTTTTTCGACACCACAAAATAAAGACGAATAAGATTAATTTGCTGTCGATGCCATGCTTTTCTGTAGGGTCATCGATTAACAACACAGTAAATGTGAAAAAAAAGTCAGAATCATTATATATATATATATTTAGATCTAAGAGGTCTGTTGGCTATTGATTATTGCAGTGGCCCCCGTTTTAGCCGTTGGCCTTGGCAGACTGTTTTTCCAAGTGAATTAACTGACACTCGGCGCACAGGTATCAAAGAAGCTGCCACAAAGCGTTGCATTTCCATGCCAAAGCAAAGGCTGCAAGGTTTCCATACATTGAACATGCATATATAAGTATATAAGTATACAGCTTTATAAGTATGTTTATGTACCGCGGATGAGCAATCGAATTATGTAGACGTCAGAAGCTTTTTGCAATTTTTAAAGCAATTTGCGAATTGATGCTTTATTTTTACGCAGATTTCATAAATCGAGGTCACCAGCCAAATTGAGCTTCTTAATTGAATTTATGGCTTAAACTAAAGACAGTCAAGATGTCTAGCTTAGATAAAGTAATAAAATACTGTGCTTAACCTTTTTTAGGTCTACAAAGGTTAAGAGTTCATAAAAACGTTAAAAAGCTGATACTAATCAAGAACATGTATAGCCTTACTTATGCTCGTTTTATTTCTTTTGCTTTTTATTCACTTCTATAAAACCAATTTTAATTAATATTGAAAAATATATATTTATGCGGGTAATCTATTATGACATAAAGCGGAATTGTCTGAATAATTTGTGCATATATGTATTATGTATGAGTTTATATACACCTGATAGATGCTGCTTTCAACTTAATTAAAAAACTGCATTGCTGTCGGACAGATCAGAATGCTTTTAGTAGGCGAAGGAGCGGATGAAAAGTGGGCGTGGCTGATGTGATGCGCATAATAAAAGCCACAATTCACATGTCCACCCGCATTCATAATGGCCTTGAGCATCCATTTCTGGGCTGTTGCCGATGCTGGGATTTTAGCTTGGTTTTTATTTGTTTTTTGTTGGGGGTATTCACAATTTAGCACTCACCATTCGGCGCACGAAATGATTTGGAGGTGGAAAAAAGCAGCACAACAAAAGGCTACCAAAGCAGAGTTGCATAAAATATGCACAAAAAAAAGAAGAGGAATCTGCCTGAATGCACATATGTCGGACGGACACGTGCCGCACATGGCCGTCATAAAGGACAGCCGAAACAAGTAAAACAAGGGGCAAGAAATGCGATTACTTTTATTTCGAATAGTCGCTGCAGGGCTGTCCCAGCAGCTGATATGCTATTACAATTTGGACAGCACTGCGGACAAGTCCCTGTCCTTGGCCAGCCAATTCCCCCACCCCGTGCCACAATCTCTCATTCACCTCACGCATCTGCAGCACTTAACACACAAAAAAATAGCAATGGTTTTTATCTTCTTTCCTTTTTTGCACCTGTATTAAGGTCATAATGAAACAAAAGGCTATTTTTTTTTTTGACAAGTCAATGGAGCCGGAACTCTGAATTTGGCCAACATGCAATTGCACATTTGGTAAGCCACAGTGAACTAGTTGCTGCTCATGAATAAGATACTTTCGCCATTGCAGTCATCAAATAAATTGGGTATTTAACAAGATAATAATGTGTACTGTAAATTGTAAAATACAATATATATTTGATTGTGAACCAGTGAATTGGTCACAATTTAAATAAAATAATAAATATAAATATGCGTTACATTTTGATGAAAAAGGGTTTTAATTTGTTTACAATGGAAATACAACGATTATTGATATTTTAAAGAAAAATCAATAATAATCTTAATATTCTTTGCAGAACTGGCAAGCTGCATTATCCGACAGACGTCTGTGGGCCACTCTTTGAGGAGGAACTGGAGTTCTGGGGACTCGACTCGAATCAGGTAGAACCATGCTGCTGGTCAACTTATAGCATACATCGCGATACGCAAGTGAGTAACAGAATTGGCATCGAGTGAAGCCAGATTAGAATGCAAAACTAAACAAATTGCTTTCGATTTAATTGCAGAACACCTTAGCCATATTAGATAAACTAGATATTGAAAATGAGAAACCCACGGAGGAGCAAATAGCGCGTCTGTTTGGCTTCGAGGAGGCATTAAGCAACGGCGAGCTTAACTGCTGGCAACGATTAAAGCCCAAAATTTGGGCCATGTTCGATGAGCCGTCGAGTTCAACGGGCGCCAAGGTAAAATTCATGACCCAAATAATTACAATATAAATTACTACAATAAATGACTGCATTTATTTAGTAGCAAATAAACCAAATAAAATATATACATATATTAGTCTGTGTTAGAACTCTAGCTGAAGAGAATGAACTGAAAAATTAAGTAAATATATAGTTAAGAAAATTTCAGTAAATAATGTTATCAATATCAATATAGTTTTCTATTTAAATGTTAAATTATACTTTACTTTAGGTGTTTATAAATAAATTAACAGTTTGACAAACTAAAGCTTATTGGAACAATTTATAAATTAGAATTGGAAAAATATATAAAAATAAAGTACAAACAACTTTAAGAATAACAGAATTCTAATAAACTAAATTCAAATTAGTGAGCGAGGAACTTATTTTGATTAATTATTTTGTATATATAAACTTAATTAAACTTAATTAAAACTAGCGAGAACTTTTAATATATTTAGATACACATTTGACACACATTTGATATCGATTTAAATAGTTTTGCATTGTTTTTGTGTACGCAGTTCGTTGCTGGCATGTCGGTATTCTTTATATTTGTTTCTGTGATATCATTCTGCCTGAAAACCCATCCTGGTTTTCGCGTGGATCTGCCCACCAGCTACGGCGCAGGCTCGCCACTGCCTGGCCACAATCTGCTCGCGCCGCCCTCATCTCAGCACCCGGCGCAGCAGTCGCAACAGCATCAGTACCACCAGCACAGCATAACGCCACCAAGCGGCAGCATTGGACCCACTTTTCGTGTCACAAACTACACCAGCTACAGCAGCGGCAACTTGAGTGCCGCTCAGGCCACGCCCATTGCCACAATGAAGGGCCAACAGCATCAGCGCCAGCGACTGAAACGCGAACAAAACGCGAGCAGCCTCAACGAGTTCCTGGAAAAGAAGATACTGGGCAACAGTGGACTCAGGCAGCACGGCTGGATCGAGACCTATGGCCAGCCGCACAAGGCCTTCTTCTACGTGGAGCTCGTCTGCAATGTTTGGTTCTTCATCGAAGTCCTTATCCGACTAATTGTGAGTAGTTTTTCGCTTAACCAATTTATTCAGCACACAAAATTACATTAAAAATGTGTTCAACATTGATGAAATAGCAGCATTTACAATTTTAAATCTTCAATGTTTCAAATGACTTTAATATGGGACAGCCAATAAGATTTATTATCCTGAGTCCTAACACTTCTTACATTCACATTCCCAACCAGGGACACTTTTGACAAATTTATGGCTATGGAAATTTATGACTCCAGTTAAATCCCTTTTTGGGGTGTAATTTTAACATGCATTTCGAGCTGAAATAGCGCTTCCAACTTTGTATGGAATTATAAATAAATCAGCTAATTGGGTTATATCTATGTGCCTTTCCGAAATAAATAACAAAACAGTAAATTCAAATGTAAGGCAGGCTGACCAGGGTTGCCCTTCTATGCAAGCAACCCAGTAAGTAAGAAACAGATTACAAAAATTAAAAATTATATTGTTTCCATTTTGCTTTTACCTTGAATAAATTATATAAAATAAATTATGTTCATTAAATTTTAGTTGAATATTAAATTGAGCTCTTAATTTTCTCGAATAAAAAAAAAACAGCTGTTTGTATTGATGCTGTCATACTTTCTTATAATATCGATAAGAAATTAGATATATTATAGCAAAAATTACTAAATACGCTGGCTACTCTCCGATTGTTGAAGGTACTAAATGTTGTCATCAAAAGTGTTAGAAATATTGATAGTTTAATCATGTCAGAACTTGAAAAATATGGTTTATATTTAAGTTCGATTCTATTCAATTTCAAACTTTTATGTCACCGAATTATTTAAATAAATAAAATTAAATGGAGCATTTATATTTTATATGAAAATCACAAAATAAATTTCGCATGCCAGGTTTCACCAAATCTGTGGCAGTTCATCAAGTCGCCCGTAAACATCATTGACTTTACGGCCACGCTGAGCTTCTACACGGATGTGATGCAACGGATGGGCGAGTATACGGGTTTGTTGGAGGCCTTCTCCATTGTGCGCATAATGCGGCTCTTTAAGCTGACGCGTCACTCGCCAGGACTACGCATCCTAATACACACGTTCAAGGCATCGGCCAAGGAATTGACTCTGCTCGTGTTCTTCCTCGTGCTCGGCATCGTCTTCTTTGCCAGCCTGGCCTACTATGCCGAAAAGTTGCAGGTAAGTTCTGGAGTTGAACCAATCTTTAACCCTTTAAATATATTTCATTTAGTGTCTGTCTCAGAAAAAGTTTAAAAAGTATTTTATTTAATGCAATAGGGTAACTGTATTCTTATTGTAATATTTCCATTGTTATTTAAACTTACTGATTTTCTTTGCAATTCACTCTCAGCTTTAGCCCTTCAGGGCGTTCTCAAGTCCTTGGTGTATTGTATTGTTTTTGTTTTAATGGAACACAATGTACTGAATTGCTTACTACGTAATTCATTTTGAAAATGTGCTTTGCCTTTTACGTTGCTAAATTGCAAAAGGAGTATTCTTTGTATATATATTTTTAGCCTTTATATGCTATTTTTGGAATACTGCCGTCTGATTAAATTTGCATTTAACTGTTTGTCTTAAAATGAAATTAAAATACACTGAAATACGTTAAAAATACAAAATGAGTGAGAATTAATTCATGTAATTAATATTATTTTAGTCTTTGGAAAGAATTTAATTATCAAATGACTTTAATGCAGCTGTTAATTTAATTAAAATGTAATTAAAATTTCATACAGGTTAATCTAAAGTTAATACTCCTTCTCTAAGAACTATATTTCTGTAATTTTGTTCTCAAAAGACTTACAAATATTTTTAACTTCAAGTGGAAGAGTATTTAATCTTCGACTCTATATATATACTATACTATACTATATTTCATACTTTCTAATTCATAATTCGCATTTTGCTTCGCAGGACAATCCAGATAACCAATTCAAGAGCATACCATTGGGATTATGGTGGGCAATTGTTACCATGACCACAGTGGGCTATGGCGATGTTGCTCCCAAGACCTATCCGGGCATGTTTGTGGGCGCACTGTGCGCCCTCGCTGGTGTCCTGACCATCGCACTCCCCGTACCTGTTATCGTTAGTAATTTCTCCATGTTTTACTCGCACACACAGGTGAGTACTTAAAGGCCCAAACAATTTTGACCAGATTTTAGAGACAACATTAGCAAAACATGTCAAAGATACTTAAGTCTAAAGGAAACCTATTGGCAATTAATTTATTAAATGTGCTTAAGATGCCTGCAAAGATTTGGAGTAATTGTAACAAATTAGTTATGCAACATATACAATTTTAGTATTCGGTTGACTGACTAAAGCAGCATCAATCGATTCATGTAAATTGTATATATAAAATTTCTTAATTGTCATTTTACTTATTATATACAATAAAAAATAAAGTAAAAAACATATTTGATGAGGCAATTCGAGTATAGAATATTTACTAATTGATAGTTTGATAGCTATTAATGAAAAACATTGATATTTGATTAAAAAACGGACGTTCGAGAGAATTAGCATTTTATTGTATTGATTTAATTTAAATTTGATTTATTTATATATTTGATTTAATTTAAATTTGATGATACATTCAGAAATTGGAATTTATTACATTTTGATAGCCAGTTAGCAATAGTGAAGAACATTGATATTTAATCAGAATTTATTTTATTTTTTAATTTTAGTTTTTTGATTTGTATTCTTCATTTAATTCGTTTGCTCTGATGGAATTCAGTATGTTTATTTTATTATTTATAGTATTGATTGATGATCTTGATTAAATATAAAACGGAGTTCAAGTCTAGAGCAATGAATTTAAATTGTAATTTATTGGTTTTAATCAATTATTATATGATTTATATAACTACAATATATAAATTGAAATAAATAAAATGAAATATTAGATTTATTATATTCTACATTTTATTTTTCTCATTTATTAATTTTTAATTTAATTATTCACAATTTTTTTTTAATATAATTTATAACTTCAATTTTAAATTGAACTTTAAATTTGTGTTTTTTAAACAAAAAAAGATTGAGTTTCTTTAGTCTACATTAAATAAACAAATAATTAGGTAAATAAATGAAGAAATAAATATGTTTAGTATGAAAGTAAGCTGTAACTTAATTATAAATGGAGGCTGTTTGGTTCTAGGCACGCTCCAAGTTGCCCAAAAAACGGCGTCGCGTTTTGCCCGTGGAGCAGCCACGTCGGAAACGGGAGCCGCCGGCGCCGCATCGCAATCGGACGAACGCCATTAAACAGACGACGCCCACGGTGCCGGGCGTTGTTGGCGGCCACGCCCACACGACTGTGCAGGCGCCCACGCCCATGTTTAAGGATACCTTTGGCAGCGCTAAAATTGGTAAGTAAAGTGCTCTCTCTCTCTCTCTTTCTCTCTTTCCCGCGCTGTCTCTCTTTCTCGCTCTCTGTCTCGATTTCTTGCTCTGCTCTTATGTGTACGTATATCTTAGCCACACATCGTGCCAATTGCAGTAGTTGTTGTGCTAAAAGTTGATTATCATTTGTTGTTGTTTTTTTTTCGTTGTTGCTTTTTGTGTGTGCAGCTGTTTAAGAGCAGGCAGCAAGTAAAATAGCCAACATCCAAAACAGGCAACACTCTCAGCAGTCCACTACAGCCAACACACAAACACATACAGCCAACAGATACACGCAGACAACAGACAACAGACAAACAGAACAGCAACAATACAACAACAGCGACAACACTCACTTTCACATCCAGCCGCATAACTGCCACATATGCAGGCCACACACACACACACACACACCCACACACACACACACCCACACATCCACTTACATTTACCAAACACTTGGGCTGCATGTGGCGCTCTCCGGAGACGAGACTAATTTCATTCAATTTATTGTTTAATTACTTTATTATTTATGCACTCGCCAAAGCCCCGCTCAGCTGCTATTGCTGCCATCCGTTCCCTGCGGGTATCTTGTGCTAAATATGGAAATCTGCAGCTGTTGTTTATTCAAAAGATTCATTTAAGATCCGCAGTACATTTATAGTGGGAGCAGCTGTTTAGTTATTACGTCTAAGTGTTTAAGCTTGGTTTTAATTCAAGTTTATTATTTGCATATTCAACTTTATTTGCTCATATTATTTAACATTTATTTGTTTCGATTTACATTTTTTGGTTTAGTTATTAGACAGAGCAGTCAACATAGAAATTGTCATTTTTAACAAAATTGTGTCAATCAATTATTATTGATATCTACGTAAATATAGTAGTGTGATGCATAAATATGATAGTAATTCCCCGATAGATATAGTATGGAAAAATGTTGAAAGCACTCATGTTTCACAAGTCAATTATTCGGTTTTTGTGAATGAATACAAAAGCTGGCTTAGATTTACTTTTATTGAGCCTTCAGAAGATGCGTCTGGCATAAAAATGAGAGCAATTATAATTTGATCATTTTTAGATAACTATAAAAATAACTTTCTTTTTTATTTATGTTAAAATATGTTTGCATATCGCAGCAACGATTAATACTTAAGTATCGATATATCGATTAGTATCGAAGGTCTGGTCACACATGAATTGTCTTTCTATCTTTCTGCGTTGTATTTTCCTAAGTTCACGAGTTGCTCTAAATTCTTCAACAAGTGAAGGCGCACTCGCGCATAATAAAAATAATCCATAATCAGAAACTGCGTTTAACTCTTCATTTTTCCACGCCATTTACAACAATTTATTATTTCTTGCACATATCCTTCTCAAGTACCCGTTTGCCCAGTTCTTGCATATTAATTTTAATTACAATTTTATTATGATAGCAAAATGCCTTTTTTATGCCATATTTCAAATGGCCATTTTTGTTCTGCTACACACACACACACACACACACACACACAGAGCAACAAAACACTTGGTAGCATAGAAAAGTTCATTTACCGTCAAACAAATTGAAAAACTTTTTCCATTTGGTCGTCCAGCAAAGCTGTGGAAAAATTGCCCAAACTAAAAGAGCAAAATTTGTACGTTCACCCAATGTCAAAACATTTAAGCTGCTCAAAATAGCTCAATGTGCATTTTAATTAAAAGACTTAAGAACTGCAACGTACTTCAAGTGAAAAGTGTTGCCCAAGTTCTTCTTGGTTCAACACGCTGAGGGCATTTCCCGCTTAGACTGACCAGGACGAACTTCTAACGGGGTTAATCAAATTTGACATGAACTGTGTCCATCGTTGAAATATGCCATTAACCACTTAAAAGAAAATTACTTTCAAGCTCGACTAACTGATAAGATCAGTATTAGGCTCATTAAAGACAAATCATGTTAATCCTCAGCAACTAACATTTAAACGAATAATAAATTAATAATATATACTTATATATTTCTTTTTTAAATTAGCTGCCGTATATTTATACCCGAGAGCTATATAGATAAATATAACGCTCCACCAATTGAGTGATTTAATTAATTAAAACTATTATTAATATTGCTGATGAGCTTTTAAATTGTTCATTGCGAATTGTTCGGAAAGCTCTTTCGATTAAAATACTAGATAAAGACTAGATAAAATGCTAAAAGCATTTGAAAATAATATTAAGAAGAACGGAACGGAAATTTATAGAGTTGGAAACTGAAATAAATATGCAATTATCCAGCAATTAAATCATTTCTGGGGAAGTGCAATTGGCCAATTCGAGCCAAGAACTCGAAGAATGCCAAACCGCTACAAAAGCCAGGCAGGAAGCATGTCTAAAATATTTATTATATACCCTCAACCCGTTCGAAATGGGTCTGAGGAGTATATTGAAACTGCGCAAAGCTATTTGTGTAGGCAAATGAAATCGTCTCCGACTCCATAGATATATATGCATTATCCAGATAAACAGCATGAACAAGTTGATCTGAGAGACTGAAAATTTAATATATAAATTGACGTATATTATCCGCAGATCCAGTTTATTTTATTTTATCGATTATTCTTCTCGATTGGCGAATATCGATACAAATCGATTTCTGCTATTTAGAGAAACCAAATCTTTAAAAATATAACTCATAACTGAAGTATGATTTGTGCATTGCATCTATTCATTATTAAATGGATCTTGGCATACGAAACACCCAAGTTAATAAACCAAAGTGAATTTCTGTATTGTGTAAAATAATCAAAATGCAATGTACAAAACCAGTTTAATCTGTTCATCAAAATTTGGTGAATTGAAATTAGCCCAAGTTATTTTCGACAACGTTTAGAAGCCTGTTCGATATGCTAATCATTTTACCTGCAATGTTTTGTGTAGTTAGCCCAGTTATTCGTACAACATTATTCAATCTGGAAACCCTAAAATTGCATCCCAAAAATTAGTTCTTAAACCTCAAATGATTGGCAAATTTCGTAACATGAGAAACATTTTAGCTTCTGAACTGAAACATAATTGAAATTTAATTGTTTCTACAACTTCGAACATTTCCTTTTCCACATCACACACTTCCGGTTAGTTGTAAAACTGTGTTACATTCCGTCGGAGGCTGTGTGAAAAATAGATTTCTGTGTGACCGGAAATGGCGTAGTACGTGCTGCAGTCAGTCACGCATAGTTGGCTCAACTTCTAAGCTCACTTCTTTCACGTACACTTAGTTGGGGTGGAAGGACCTCATTTTTGCTGGCAGTGACTGCGACTTCAAAGAGCATTAAAATAGCAAGTAAATCATTAGCAGGCATACTTTGCTGGCGGTGGGCGTGAAAGTGTGACAAGGTTGCTGCCGACTTCTAGTGGTCATTAAAATGGGCAACGCACCACCAGCCGTGGCGACACCGAGGCGTCGACAATTTACGTGCTGCACACTGGTACTGGTATATAAATGCAAGTGCGTCAGCTCAGCACGAGGCATTCAAAATGCAACATTAAAAACACCCGAAGGCATTTTGCGGAAGCCCAACATTTACCCTCTATTTATTTTGGGGCGTGTTGAGCGCATTTTGCCTTGCAGCTGTAGCACTAATGAATTTCTATACCCTTACTGAGACCATTTGGAAAACAACAGGCAATTTATAACGCAGAAAGCAGAGCACAGTATGTTGATTAGATTTACACAGAAAATCAGTCCTTCTATTTTAATATATGCCATAATTTGTCGAGATTTACAGCTGCTAAAAAAAATATAAGGAATATATATATATAGGATATTTAGTTGTCGGCATTTTGAATTTAACTTGGGCTTTCTTGTTATAAGTACATGTTTTAAATGTTTGCGTTCGCCGGGAAAACTGCAAAGTGAAATATTTTCACACTTGAGGGCGAGCTTGCTCTTTTTCAGGACAGCATTTAAATTTATAATGGCTTGCAAGGCGGGAAATGTGAAATATTGTTCTAAGGCAAACTGTAATGGACTCATATTTAAATATTATGCCTTCTTGCAGAACGGCAGCAAATGGTCAAATATCTAAAAATGATAAGAAAAGTGTATATAAAATTTCTCTTAAATTTATTGCATGATTGTAATTGGGCAAATATATTATGGACTCCAAAATTGCACATAAATTATCATAAATATAATCTCTCTCTATAAATATGTCTTGTAGTGCTTGCAGTTCACAAAATTAATACATATTTTTTCCCCCAACTTGCTCATTATTCTTAAGTGTTTGTTATTTGTTAATTGCTGCACGTAATAAAAAGATTCAAGTACAAAAAAGTTGGCTTTGGATTGCACACTTATCGAGAAAATTATGCACATTTTCACTTACCCAGTTAAAACTTTGGTCTTTTGATAAAAATTATATAATGCCCGTATACGAATGAAGATGAAACAAAAACCGATTTCATAACTTTGAAATTATTTTATGAAACTTTTTATCAAAATACTGTACGAGAAAAAAAAAAAAAATATTGAACATAAAAAAGTACAACAAAATTGTTTGAGCGCCTTTTTTTTTTAAAGTTTTCACACGGCCACGAAGGACTTTGTGATTGTTTGCCATTCCTTTCATTCATTTTTTTTATTTTATTTTTGGTAAACTTTTGCTTTAACTTTGCGCCTGCGTTACATTGTTTACTTTTGGCGTCGCAACTCAAATATTATGCTGGTTGCCTTTTAGCGGACTACTTAAGTGTGCCGGCGGTGCAGAGCCTGCAGCCGAGGGCGGCAACAACTGGACACGAATTCATGCTGCCGCTACAGCCCAAGCTTGTGGCGCCACTGGGTGAGTACATTATTTTGTAGGACCGCACAACTTTTTGATAGATAATTGCATTAGCCGGCTGGGTGGGGGGCCGAGGGGAGTAACTGACTGACTGACAGCATAGTTGAACCCACTTTCAGCCACATACACATAAGCACCACGGGGCACCTTGGGAGCAACTACATCTGAGCGCCATTGTGAAAATGGAATTTGAAAGCGACGAACAAAGGCGCGTTCTCAGAATGCAGCAACAACGGCATTGTGGCGGCTGTCTCCGGGGATGTTCAATCCGTGTGTCCTGTGCAACGTTTTCCACTGATAACGCTTGGGCCAATATTAACACACTGTGCTGAGCACACAGCTGCCTGCCTGCACATTGTCCTCAGCGATAACCCAAATGCGTTGACATGCGCTTTGACTTCCGCTTCCGCTGGCTCGAATATTTTAAATGTCCTCGCCTCGAACTAAGACCAGAACCCACAGCTGCATACCCTTGCAGCTAACTACAAATGTTTTCCAAAAACAAAACAAATAAACCAAGGCTCGATTTTTGATAAAAAAAAATATATATTTTATTAGTAAATTGATATATATATATTTTTGAATTTATAAGATTTAATAACATTCATAATTCTTGTGTAGCCAAACTCAAAGTAAGAACCATTCAAGAACTCAACTTTTAAACAATAGTTCTGATCACAGCTATATACTGATACTTATATACTGTTTCCATCAGACCAACAGGTGTCTTGGGCCTAGGCTGGTGGGAAGAGTTTCTCAGTCAGTTATCCATGAGAATGGGTCCGAAATGTTCTGATAATGTTAAAAATGTGATTATTTCTTTAATTGAACTTATATTGATAATGTGGAACAAAAAAAACAATAATTTTAAAGTTAGGTTTCCAATTCTATAGAGAAAGAAAGCCAGAGACTTTAATTTCTCAGAGTGCATTTTCTGTCTGCTTTAGGACTAGAATATGTTGCCAGTTTCATTAGCAATGTAGGTCAGTAATATAAATATATTTTATATCTCCGTCTGTTTTATGAAAATAACTGCTAGGAAAACAATGCCAACAAATTGAGAACGCAGTTTTCGCTTATTTTAAAATAATTTGCAGAACGCAAGGATCAACATCCGTTGCAGCTGACTGCCCACAACTTGGCCTCCGACACGCATCAGATGTATGCTGGCCACGCCCACGGCACGAAGACAGGCACCGTGCTGAGTGTGCCGCCCACCATCAGCATGACGCACACCCAAATGCCGCCGGGCATGGCCAGCATGGGTCAGCGCACACCCAATCTGAGCTACCGGGCAATGCATGCGCCCATCCAGCAGCCGATACCACAACAGTTTCAGCACCAGCATCAGCATCTGACCTCGTCCAGATCGAGCGGTGTGGAGTCGTGTAATATTAAAATTTCAGTCGCCGGCTCAGCTGGCGCCTGTTCGGAGGAGCTAATGGCGCCCAAGGTGACGCTGCTCGACGATCTGAGCGATGAGGTGAATTCCTCAACGGATGACTGCGGCGAGTGCTGTCTGGTGGACGATAGCGATACCTACGAGGCCAGCAACAACAATGGCTCCTGTACAAATCAGGAAATGGAGCAGGAAAGCGCCACTGCCGAGGAAAGCGGTGACAGTTTGGGTGGCATTTACATAGGACCCACCCATTGATTTTCGGCCATTAAATGGGAATTTCCATGCTAGGTACGTAAACATATATGCATATGTATTTGTGTATATGTTTATGTATGTAAATGTGCATTTGTATGTGTATGTATGTGTATGTATTTGTGTATGTGTCTGTGTTTGGCCATGCCTAGTTGGGGCTAAAAATAAACAAAGCCCACGACTCGACTCTTGCCAATACCCTGCCAAGGAGAGTGCAAACAAAATCGTCCATCAGTTCAGAGTCGAATTTGTTATGACTATAGAGATACTATATAGACACTATAGAGATACCTTTTATATATATAGAAAGACTATACGAGATACTTCTATAGTGTTTGACTGTACTCAAAATGATCTCATTTTTATTCAACTAATTTAATTGCATACTATTATTTCTTTCTATTATATTTGCTGTATTTAAATACTGAAAATATAATTAATATATTGAATAAACAATTATAGATTGTAACCTCTCCTTTTACAATCACAATATTTCTTATAGGATTTATTCGAAAGATATATCAGATAGATATCCGCTTTCTTTTGCTTTAATTTAAGATCTGCATCAGATTTTTATAAGTTATTTTCACTATCCAATTTCTTAATTCTTTTGAATATCCAGCTAATAGTTTACTACTATATTTTTATTATGTAATTGTTTATATTGCTTAAATTGTAACCCCTAACCAGTTAAGAATATATAGTCATAATTAGAAGAATGAAGTACATTTGACTGGTTTGTTAATTGTTATGTTATCTTCACACGCAGATATTTAATTTTGCTGCAACTTCTAAAGGGATTATGTTAAAAGCTTCAGAAATATATATATAACTTTAGTTCTTCATGAATCTATACTTAATTTTTCATAAGCAAATCACAGTTTGCTTGGGCATCGTATCAAACAATTGCCTGCCTGCTCTTCTTACATCATCTCGAGGAAATCAAGTTTAATAAATATTAGTTTTGTGTAACGCCCCCGACTAAGACTTGGGCAAGGAGTCGAACATCCGTAACATTTGTGTTGTCCTTATAACTGTCATGTTGACAACTGTCATTGACAGAGATATATGCGTCTGTGCATCCGGCAAGGGACTGGCTATTCTCGTGCTAAGACAACACAAACACACAGCCGGACAGCGCACAAGGCAAACATATCATTCATTTAAACGTGTCCACTTACTTGTCCGGATCTGCCCAGGCAGCGATAGTTTTGCTCCTTGCTCGGGTTTCGGTCTCTGGTGGCTGTGCTTGACACTCCAAGGTGTTTATTGTCTGTGTGTGTGTGTAAGCCTTTTGTTGCTGTAAACATGTAACTATAAATTTTAACACTTGAATAAGCTTCACCTATTTTTCATCTTATTTTTCTTCAGTCCGCCTCAGTCCGCCTCAGTCCGATTTCTAGTTGCACGCCCACAAAAAGTTCAAATAAAAAGTGTCAATCGGAATGTTTATCTGCCGCATTGATTTCCACCATTTCAATGAACTTACACAAGTAGCTAGTAAGAAAGTTTTATACGAACAGACTGCTCGATTTTCAGCTACCCTGGAAAAATATATCTTTCCTCTTGGATAATCTTCAATATTTGTTATGGTACTGTTGCCAAATATTGTGATTAGCTTTACAATAGTTAGCTAGTTTGGAAATATTTGTACTTTATTTCATATACCCTTTGAGTGGTCTCTGCTTTAGGGTACAAAAACCATGTCGACACAATGGCGACCACAGCTAAAAGTAAATGGCGCCGAATATGATTTTCTTTTACCCCTTAACCCGCTTACTTTTTCTTTTTTTACTTTGTCACAGATGACGGCATGGCTGCAGACTTATATATGAATACAAATATAAATGTATTTATTCTTTTGTTTTGTAACTGATAAGTCACAGACTTAACTATTTAAAATTGCTCTCAATGTTCTTCTCAAACAAAGAAGATTTGCTTCATGTAAATAGCTGTTTGATTTTATTGGCAGGGTATCAAGAAGAAAGTTATATAGCGCATGTCTATAAAAAAAACTTATCTGAGGTTCAAACGTAATTTTTGGTCCAATACTTAATGTTTTTTTGATGTGAGCACACTTAATATGAAAACTATATATGAGACAACAGAAAACCTAAGAAAGTGTGTATAGTAGTGCGAAAAAATTATAGATAATTACAAACGGAATTCAAAAGAGGCGTCATAGAAAATATTGTAAGTAGATAAGTTAACAAATGAGTAGAAAGGCTCAAAATCTCGTTGCAAATGAAGAATTTTATTAATACTAAAAAATAAAAGTAAACAAAATTTAAAAACAATTTTAAAACTTAAGAAATTAAATACAAATATAAAATGTAATTGTTTATCTAATTAAAGAGTGGTTTAAACTTAATAATAAAAAAAACTAATGAAACAAAACAAAAGTTATCAGCTGGTTTAAAGAGCTATTAAAATTAAAGAAAAGTTTTCAAGTTAACTTATGAATCAACAGCAGCAGTGATACCTTGCTCTAAATAATCTATTATTTTCCACTAATTTAAAATTTAAAAATTAAAAAATGGCCCCATTTCACAAGTTACATAAATAAAGAAAATACCAAAAAAATATACCAGCATGAGAAATACTCCAATATTTGAAATGTTTCTTACGTTTCGTTCCATATTAATGTACATTTTAATTAGAATTAAGTACAAGCCAAAATACTTAATTGCGTTATTGCATAGCAACAACAACACGAGAACAATTTAATTTGATTTAATCTTAAAGGACATAATATGCCCGAATTGGCCAAACTAAGACGAATTCTGTAATTTAAATTAATCAAATCACCAGCTTTTCATTGTCATGTAGCTCCATCTAAGCCAGGTGAATAAATTTAAAAATTGTCTCTAAGCAAAACTATTCAAATTGAAATTCAATGATAAGAACTCAAAATCTGTATTTCCATAACAAAGCCATCACCGAATTGTAATTAAATTAAATATACATATATAAATATTGTTTACAAAAAAAAAGCCCCAAAATTGGAGCAAATTTTTAAATGTTAACAGTAACACAATTTACATTTAAACAAATTAAAAAATATGTGGCGTGTGTGCGACAACCAAAATTTCCAATTTTAAAAATAAATATAAAATTTCTTTGAATATACACACAAATTCAAGTGGGACGAAATTTCATCAGTGTGCTACCAAAACACGTACAATCCATACATATGGTAATTTTATTCTGAAGGACTGGGTAATTCAATTTTTTTTTTGTTTTCCAGCACACAAAGACAACATCAACAAAAACAACAAGTGGGATTTGTTATACTCTATCGAAGGGAATTCTATTTTTGACATCAATTATATTTTTCCATCAATTTTTAAGTAACTTTACAGAACAAGTTTAAGCTGAAGTTTAAGCCGAATTCTGAGCCCAAGTTTAATGTAAATTAAAAGTGTTAACTAAATAGCATTTTTTGCATATGCAATTTGATATATATATATATATATCTGTACAAGGGTAACTTATCTTATGCATACTTTATGCCATAATTTCTTGTTAATTTTAAAAGCAAACACAGCAGCCGCCATTTAGCCATTAGCAACGAATCAGCCAAGGCACGGAATTATAGCCGTATATATATGGCCATTTCGAAAAAAATTTATGGACGCAACAATGCTGCATGATGAGAATAGGGGCAGAAAAAGCGATGAGGACTGCAAGTGATGGTGTCTAATGTAGACAATTCAACACCAACCAACCCTAACACACACACACACACACACACACACACACATTCTTAGCTAGAGATATGTAGTCTAATACGGTATAAACCGTTTGCACATCAAAGCGCAAATCCATTAGGCATAAAACCGTCGGCCAGGTACCAGGTAAAAAAAAAGGCTGAAACGGAAAGTGAGAAGCTTATCTATGTGGGCATATGTGCGTGTATCTGTGTATGTGTGGTGCCCCAAGTGTGTGCTAAAATAAGCGGCAGAGAATCGCCGAGAAAAAGGCGGCTCAAAAGCGAGCACAAGATTAATGAGCAGCACCTGCTTGCCGACAAATTATATGACATAATTCACTTTGAGCCCCATTCGCATATGTTTCTCGGGTTTCGGCTCCACAAATCTCAACCGGTCCGTTTGGAATTTTGGAGAATATTTTCGTGTACCAAATGCAAATGAGTACGTAATTCTTGGAATCTTTGGGTTACTAAAATATTTCAGTCACACACAATAATAATTCATGGACTTGGAGTTTTCTTCTTACGTTTCTTATATTTATGTTTATATTTAGATGATATTGTCCTTGTATTTAGACTCGACTGTCTACCATTTGTTGGCATAAATTAAAACAGCCCTTTTTCTGATTGGAAGACATGTTCTTGCAGCAATCTAAGCAGCATTCTCTAAAAATCCCTGAATGTCAAAAGGCTCTAGTTGAGTGGGCATCACAACGATCCGAGTCAAATCAAAGCCTTTGACTTATACTTGACTTAATAAATTCTCACACATCAAGTTTTCTATTTATTTGCCAGCTACGTGCCCTCAGCAAATCAAATGCAATGTTTTCTTTTTTGTTTTTTGTTTTTTTTTTTTTTGCCCAACCCAACTTAGCCGAGTAATCAAAGTTAGCAGATGTGTCCTTTTCGTATGCAATACAATCTGTGAATGCTTTTTCTCTTTTGTTTTTTGTTTATTTATTTTGCGATTGTTAAGCCAGTTTTTCCCACACCTTTGCCCTCTAACTAACGATGATTGACGATGATTGAATGTAACTGCCAAAGAAGCCACAAAAATAACAGCAACGACAGCTGCAACTGGCTCCAAACTATTTTGGATGTCTGCATTTGAGGTAAACAAGGCAGATTGCCATAGGCTTAAATAAAAATTATTCATTTTATTTCGGTAACCTCATTTCAATTCAAATCTATCAAGGAGTTCAACCCGAATGTAATCCTATTTGGAGAAGTTAACTCTGAATACAAAATGTATTATATTTTGATTATGCTCAGATTTCTACAAGCTTTTAGTTTCTCGAGTCGTGATAAAAAAATTTAAAATTTAATTTATAATTTCTAAGTTTAACTGGTGTACGTAAATTATTGAGTATTAATATTAAAAAAAAAAAAACCAAAAAGACCAAGAAAAAATACAGAATAAATTCTTTACTTACAGATTAAACGCTTTAAGGGAAAAGTTTTATAATTTAACTTCAATATGGCAGAGTTCCATTTATAATATATAGCTATTACATTTAGCGGAATCTGAATTTCATTTTATTATATTTTATATTTTTATTTATTAATTGTAATATAATTTATTTATAAATAAAATAAATATTTAAAATTGATTGTTTAAAAAGCCAATCAGACCAAAAATAAGGTAAGTAAAACGAGAGGTAGAAAGAAAGAGATTCTTAATAATACATATTAAAAGATTCAGCTAACTTAATTATATGATTTGCTTATGTCCTTTCTCTCTTGCTTGATTTATTTGTGCTTATGACTAATCATCATAAATCATACCATAAATACACCTAAGGGGCTATTATAATTATGATCAACTGGTATCAGCAATCAACTTTGACAATCAAATAACAATTATTGGAATGTTTGAGTCTATCTATGAATTATTGCAACAGTTAATGACATCAGTCTTATGCTTGCATACCAAATTAGCCCTCATTTGGATTAAGGACCGCATTAATACAAACCCGTTTGACAGTTACTGGCAATACACCCATTCAGAGACACAATTTTGGCAGGCATGCATTGCAACGAACACCGACAACAAAGCCAAAGAATTTATCTTCTGTTATTTTTTTCTTTGCTGTTCACGCAAACGCAATTTATTGTTACAGATAGCCAAAATGTATAAGACAGATGGCTAGGACGATGTGGAAAAGGGGAATGAAGGAAAGTCAATTTCCGTTGCGTGCAGGCTAAAAAATCTCGTCGAAATGTGAACTCGCAATATAAATTCCAAATGGATAGAGCACACAACACACAACACACATGGCACACACACGGAAATGCGAGGACATGATTTGCTCCGTGGCAGACCCACCAATTCAGTCGCTAACTTGGTTTCCTTCGCTATCACCCTCCTCTTCGTCCCCATCATCCTCCTCCTCCTCCTCGTCTTCCTCCTCCCCATTCTCGCAGTTTCGCCTGGAGGGAAACATGGCCATGTGGCAGGCCTTTAGGGTGCGACGCCTATCGCAGCTGTTCATGCGCCAAAGGCTGCTCACCATGTACCACAATTGTTGCCAGGTGCTCCCGAACTTTTGCTGCGTGGCTTCCATGATGAAGCAGAATAGCGAACCACCCACCGAAGTGGTGGCGAGACCTAGCAGCCAGTATCTTAATGGCTCCTTACAGTTGCCCTGGCTGAGGTAGCCGATCAGCTTCTGCGTTACAAAGCAAACAACGCGCTCCAGCCCACACCAAATGATCAGCGTTGCGATCTCGGCAAGAAATATGCAGGCCACAAGCTCAACAAATAGCTTCCAGCGTTTGTTCATGTGCTCGAACCGACGGGGATAGATGTTAAGGTCCCACAGAAAACAGATTGTGGCCAGCAGAAAGAAATAGCTTCCAAGTGGTGGTGCTGGCGAGCATGCATCCTCCGGCTGCATAATGAATATGGAGTAACCCTTCAACTGCAACAAGGCGGCGATGCAAACACACAGCATCTCCATTGTACTTAACAAAATATATACGAATTTGAGAAGATTTCGCGATTGGTCCAGTATAAATACTAAATATTATAACTTTTTCTTTAATAACTTGTATTTAATTGTGTTTAGATTGACGTATACAAAATATAAGAGTGATATGAGTTTTACAGCTTGTCTACTTTAGCTTTTAGTTTGGATATAACCTGAAATATTCTGGGTATATTTTATCCCAAGTGTTTTTTTTTATATATTTAATTTGCTTCGATATTTATCGAATCCCGTCGGGAATCGTTTTCAGGGAAATGCTTACACAGTTCGTTCAGCCAAATGTGAAGTTCCAAAATAAAATCATATACTGAATATATACGGTAAATATATAGTATTTGAACGATAATAATCACATCTGTTCCAATTTTATTGAATTTTAAATGTTCGATGCAGGCAGCGTTTTTTATGCAAACATGAAACTTCAGATCTGGGCGGTGTTTAAACTATTTAATTTAGCAAGTTTATTTATGAGCGAAACAAAAGCGTGCGTCTAACTTGCTTGAATCTCCAACTCGGACTCTTCGATAGTGAAAACTATCGATATTTACTAAAATTACAAAGTAGTGTTTACATAATTGAATAAGATTTAACAGAGTTATGTAAAGTAGCGATAAATTGACAAATTAACAGCTGATCATTCAACATCAGTTGTCATCATAAGAAATATCATTGACTAAGCCTATTCTTTGTATACTGCGTTTAGTAAACATTAAATAAGAAGTAAATGAATACAATTCCGTTCATATACTTAATTATTATTATAAGATGGTTTCTACCAGCTCCTTTATATATCTGAAAATTAGAGCAAACATTAAAATAATTTCACATCTTCTATTTCGAATGCCCTCAACGAATAGCTTTGCATAAAAACTTAATGAAGTGATACCAGTGGAGGATTCTTTCGGGTTTCCTCAGATTACTAACAAACAAATTAACAATTAATCAATTTTGGATTTCTACCAGGAGAAGTCGATTTGGAAATGCCAGCAATTATCTGCTGACTCAAACTGCTAACGTAAATTCTGTGCTGGCCAACTGACAGCTGCCGGTCTACGAGTCCTAGTTCACACTCTAGACCAGACACACACAAATAAACACAGAGACAAACACATTCTCACACACGTATATACATATAAGCTGACTGTGTAAATGGCATTTGAATAGGGTTCATTGTTGTCGGTGCTTGACGTTGGGTTCGGTTCGGTTCCGTTCTGGCCAAGCCCTGTCTGTCGGTCTGTCTGCCTGGCTGTCTATTTAAAAATTGATTTGTTGTTATTTACATGCCGCATTATTTATCAAAGATCTCGTTTAAAACGTTGTTTCTGCCTACTTTGATAATTGTGTGTCACATCGTGGAAGTCAAATGTTTTTTTTAAAGGGAGCTTAGTGGGTGGCTGGTGGTTGGTGGCTGCTATCAAGAATTCAATTTGTAAGTGTCAATGACAGTTTAGTCGATGTCACCTACCTTTTTTAAAAGAAATTTATTTTTTTTTTGCTTTTCTGCCCATTTTTTATTAGCTTTTTCTCCATTGAACCGAAAATGCCAGTTGATTTGCAAGCAACAAGTTGTGTCGGTCTTACAACCGAGGGGCGATCGGTAGGAAAGGTGACTCTGCGTGACTTTTGTTATTGGGTGCGACGTGCATCAACGCAGGACACGGGCACACTGGCAATGTTAACGTATTTATTACCATAATTGCTACAGTCAGGGACATGTATAATATGCTCGGTGAGGGAGGCAGATGGGTCTTATTGATATATAGGGATTGTGTGCAATTGAAATCAGTCGCTCAGAAAAATCAATCAAAATTGTGAAATGACATTTGAACCAGTTGGCAGATAAATGACTCTATTCTCGACCCTTCTAAGCTTTCTTTTTGTAGTGTTAAAAAGTATAGAAATAATAAATCAATTTTTATACGGCCGAGAATTTAAATCAATTTGTTTATTTATATATTATATATTTTTTTTATTTACTTATCTATTTATATATTGTAGCGGGGCACTTGTAATGTAGATAACAGGTTACTCGTGACGTATTAATAAGACTGTAAAATAACATCGTACATAACATTGTTATCGATATCTATCGACATCAATTGTGTGAAGACCATCTTAAAGAACAAGAAGTGATCAATCGTTCTGAGTAAAGTAAAGTGTTTGAGAAAAAAAACCTACAATATTATTTATATATTTTTTCGTATAACTAATTCCGGCGGTTTTCAAAGTGTTTCAATAATCAGCTTAGGCTTACTTTCATTAAAGTGTCGATTTTTATTGTACGAAGTAATTTTAACCACAACAAGAGACAAAAGAAAATTAATTTCAATTTAACTACAAAATTTTATGAAATTTGATTATATATTTTTAATACTTTGAACAGGAAATCAAGAATTAGAAGGATTCGTTTTGTGTGAAGTCCAACAAATAGGTCACTAATAAAATTTGTTTAAGACTGACCAACATATTATAATATATTAAACTACGAATAAAAATTTAAGTGTCGGGAGATTAATTGCAGCTTACACGGATATTTAATTTTTAGCGTGCCTGAGGAAAACGTTATTTCCTGTTTTCAGTTGCTTTTTTTCACCTATAACTAAACAGAAAATTAAAACAAATTTTTTCTTGCAACACGTAGTGGAAGCTTCATAAATTATGGATGGTCACGTGCAATATGCCCGTTTAACAGCAATTTACTAATGTACCAGCTAATGACAAAATAATGACTAAAACACCGTTAGCGATTAACCGTGCACAACTTAAATTGACTGCGCTGCCAACACATATGTATGTGTAAACAGAAATACATATGTATACATACTTACATACATCAAACTTCAAAAGTATTTATGCTGCGATTGTGTCTGCCACGGCTTGCACTTTAAATGTATATATGCTTGTTGGTTGTATGCACGTCTCTATAATTTCACACGTGCAACTTTAATGAACTTTTCACACTCATTACACTCATTGGACACAGGGAAAGCACTGGAATGCGAACACGTCACATCAACACACACTCCCACACACACATAGATACATTCACACAAACAACTGCATATACAGAGCGTCGCTTAACTTCCGGTTTTGGTGAGTTTTTGTAACCGCACGCAATAACCTAACGGAGTGCATTAGTGCCAGCTGATCGACTTGCGGATACTCTTTGCTTTCAAATGGCCCAACAGCATTTGCACTAGTTTTTTTTTTTAAATATTTATTTAAACTGTTTATTTATACTTAATTTAGGAATAAAATTATCTGAAATATTTTGTAAATCTCCCAATTTATATTGTTTATATTGTTTGTTTTTAATTATATTAGGAAGCCCGACACCCAAACATAATTCGGTACTGATATGGTTAATAAGCACAGTTTAGTATTCGTAATATTCGTTAATATTCATGAGCTCCGACGCAATGAAAGTTGCAAAAGCTTAATATAAACTTTATATATATTTGTCAGCTCTTTATCTAAGTTTTTTAAGTAATAAATAAATGATATTTTGGATTATTAAATTATTTTATTTTTTTTATGTTTTTCAAAATAGCGGAGATTAACCAATTTAAAGGTTATCACTTCTACTTTTTGCCGTAAAAAATATGAATTGATAAAATTGTGGAAGAGCACTTATTAATAGTTTAAAGAATTTCACGCCATTTCACGTCATTTCCAAAGCCATTGATATTAATAATTAAAGGGATTTTCACCGTTCAGTGTGTTGAGCATAACCACAATAAATAATATATAGCATAACAAGGAATAGTATAAAAAAAAAACTGTTTAAATTGGTGAAAAATGCTAATGAGACCAACATTAATCTTAATTTAAGTTCAATAAAGACTCGATATATTAATGCACAGCTGAGATCGCTTCAGTTTGTTGTTTTTTTAAACACTTTAATGGAAATTTTTCAAGAATAAACAACATTATATGAAAACTCCCCTCATGAACAATTAAATACACATTTTGGTGCTTTCAATGAATACTTGAAGTAAATATGTTGTATATATTAGAAATAGCTTAACTCTTGCCTGTGTTAAAGTCGATAAGGGGTTAGATAGTGGGCATCAGAGCTTGTTTCAGCAACCTTCTCGTTACAGGGTATAATTAAATAGAGAAAGAGAGAGAGAGAGAGATAGAGAGAGTTGTCGTGACTTGTCAAATCGTGCGCATAAAACTTTTGCCATAGAAAGTTTTACCTCAAACATCCTTCGCTGCATTTGCTGCAAGCGCATCAGAGATAGAGGCAGACGGACAGGCAGACAGGTTGACAGAAGCAATTGCAACCCAAAGCACAAGAACAGCAACAAAAACAAGAAGAAGACGAAGAAGAAGAAGAAAAACAACGCGTAACAACAATGTTGGATGTCATCCACTACAGGGTGTACCATATTGTGTCTCACTCGCATTACACGTGATCTGTTGGTCTACTGTTTGGTCCTGTCAAAGGCGCCCATCAGTTCCTGTTAAATTTTCCCCTTTTTCAACTGATACGGCTTGTTTTTACTGGTGTCGCGTCGAACTGCCACCCTCGAGACAAATTGATTTCGTGCATTTTTTGTGGAGCGCATACAAATTGCGCACCAACTGGCGGTTGACTTTGTCGTCCAAAGTCTAATATGTCCTTATGTAGGGTATCACATTTTGTCTATTCAGTGTGTAACGCAAGTGGATATGTCATTGACGATTTTTTGTGATGAATGTTCAGTTGATATAGTGATAGGATATCCGTAGCCTTAGGGAAATATTTCATAAATATTTCACATATTTTTAATACCACTTCTTCTTTAATTAATAATTCACTTCATATTCATTTATATTATTCTATTTATATTTCATTTTTATTTTTTTCATTATATATGGGAATTTTATTATTCACTCTTTTTAATATATTTTAATTTGCAACTTCAATTTTAACAATATATTTTTATTTTATAAAACCTTTTTTTAAATGTTTTTGACTGTTTTAGATTTTTTTGCGATGTGGAACATCCAA